TTATGTCACAAAAAATGAGAAAACATCTTTAGAACATCTTGGGTAACAGTTGGCAGCACCTCAGGGTCTGGAGATCCAGTATTTTCTTGGCTGTTTCTGTGCCAGTCTCTTTAGCTGCTGATCTCTCAAAGCTGTGGTGCTATGTTGATTCAAGTCAGAGTGACTTTATTGTCTTTGTCTAGAATTCTGAGTCAGATCTGTGATTCTGAATTCACTGTCTTGTGCTCATTTCTACATTCTGTCCCTAGAGTTCCGTTTTAAAATACTGGATTTGGTATTTTGGTCTCTTCTAGGATACATGGGGATTTGGGAAAGGATTTCTCATGAATGGGGGACCCAGATAAAGATATTTAGTTTCTGAAGTCTCTAGGCAAAATACCAGAATCATTACAGTTTTCAGAGGTTACCCATAGGTAACTTAAGCCATTGCTTTTTGCTGCCAGAAGAGTTGGCAGATGAATACTTAATGGTTCCATCTTGAATTCGAATGCTCCAGTGAGCTGTTGAAAATGTCTAACACCCAATGAAAAGCTTTTAAGAATGTGCAGATGTAGACCCAAAACACTCCCCAAAGTAACTCTAGTGCAGAATAAGGCTGGTGGAATGTATATAGCTGGGATGTATATAGCTGGTGTATATAGCTGGGGTGGCCTGGAGAACATGCAAAAGCTTGGAGGGGAGAATTCCTCAGTGTTGGAACAGAGATCAGTATTTAGGACATTTGTCACCAAGACTGAAAAGCACAAGATGGACACTTGATTGGAAGAAGGATGTTTTATCATCCACTTTGAAACTGATTCCTTAAATAATCAAGCCACCAAGCTGTGGGAGTTTAGAGATGGAATTCACTAAGTTGTCCTCAAGAGAAGCAAGCAGTGAAAGATAAAATCAAAATTTATGAAGAAGTTCTGTCTTGGAAAAAGGCTTATTTTCCACTTCTGCCTTTTTTTTTTTTTGTGTTTATTAAATAGGATTACTACTTAATAGTTAGGAAAACCAGTTCAACAAAGAAGTGTTTGAGGAAAAAAATACTTACGCAAATGGGGATCTGCACACGTTGGTCCCAAAGATAAACACCTGTGTCTTACAAAATATTTCTTTGGGCAAGGCAAGAGAGAAAGGAGTTTAATTAAAAGGTGGGGACTTTGTTGTAAGAAGTGTGAAGTAACATGCCCACTGGCACATGAATATAGTCTCTGGTGGTGGGTGAGCTTGTAGGTGATACGCTTGGAGGAGCAGCAAGGCAGAGCAAGGAGCTGCACTGCTTTGGATCATCACAGTGAGGGCAGAACAGCACTGAGAGCCACTGAGTCTGGAAGCAGTGCTGTCAGAGCATCCCCAGGAGAAGCTGAACAGAATTGCTTTTTGGAAAAAATCATGTAAGGGACAGAGAAAGTATATGCACTCCGCAGACACTGTAACTGAGCATTCCCTCCCTATTGGCTGTGTTCTCTGTTGCAGACAGTCTGCAGGATAATTTACTTTGAAAGGACAAAAGCAGAAAAATGGTGCAAGTTTTATAATAAAAGCTGTGGAAGTTAAGTAGACCTGAACTGCAGTAACATGGTTGACCACAGCCAGAGCTTTGCACCTAGAACATACTGTTCTTCTAAACATAGGCATCACATCACAACCTCAGCTTATCCAATAATGAATGCAGCATCTTCAACAGTGACTATGTCTCATCCATTAAACCAGAATAAAAATAATTAATTAGTAAACATATATTGCTGTATGGTGATCTCACATGTGGTACAACAGTACCCAGGAGCAGGGTGGGAGCAGAGAAACTGTGTTATGAAGAAGCCTCTGCAACAGGAATACCAAGAAAGGGAGGAGGAGATGGTATCTTCATTGTGAATCTGACAGCACAGGTCTGGAAGCTCAGAATATGGCTCCAAGTGAATGTGTGGTCTGAACTACCCACTGGTTTCATGGCAAAAAAATGTTTGAGTCTTCTTTGTGAGCAGTTGTGAATGTGATTTCCAAATGTAAAAGTCCATTGGCTTGCTATATGTGCATAGAGGGTTATGAGTAAATATTCTGATGTCTAAAGGAATACTTTGTCCTGAATAATGTATTAACAATTTATGTATGTAATTATTTGTTAAATGGCTTATTTCTGCAACTTCATAGAAAGCTTCTCTCTCTCTAGAAAGGTTGATCTTTTAAATTTTTGATAATCCCTGTAGAGAGCTGACTGGTAAGAACAACATTGACAAGATTACAGGAGCTGAACAACAGGAACAGGATAAGGAATAGGAATACCAAAAGAATGACATGTCTTTTTATTTGTTACCATATGTAATCTGTTTAATGAACAGGTTCCCCTTAAATTTCATAATAATATGATGGCTGTATAACAGTTCATATTCTCTTGGTGCAGTTTATGATAATAGAAATCACTCTGCAGAAACAAGGCCAAAATGTATCCTGGAACATAAATTTCATAGTTCTTAAATTTGAGAGAAAAGCTACAACTAATTATACAGGACACTCAGTGCATTCTGTAAGGCTTATTCAAGTGTGAATTTCTGTAAAGTGTTTTTTCCAAAGAAGAAAATGCTTTATTATTATATTAAAGACTGACTTTGTAGATTCTCTTCGATTTTATTGTTTGTATTTTCACCAGATTTTGCTATGAGGAAACAATTTAGAGGACAGCAAATATCTGACTGTATCTGGCCTAGAGTGTGATGTGTAAGCAGAAATTCTAATTTCCAGAACAGGAAACAGAGCCTGTGGAAGGGAAAGGCTAATTGCAAAGTCCCTTAAAACAACAACAAAAAATTAGGGAAATGAGTATCACAGTAAGTAGTGCCATTAATCACTAAGCATCATTATGGTAAGAGAACAAACAGTTTTTCTAATATGCAGTTAGCAAAAGAGCACTCATTTTGTAATTATAAAAGTGGAGAGATTTAGCTGTGGCATTTAGTTTCTGTAGTTACAATAAGAAGTGATACTGTATTCAGTGGTTGCTATCAAATACACTCAGGTAAAACCAGTAATTGCTATGACAGCAAATCCAGATTGGATGCTTCTCCTCTGGTGACTCACACCCAGCAGGAAGGGCTGTCAGTCCCATCAGTCATTGCTTTACCTCACACACACATTGCTTCCTGGGTTGTAGAGATAAATGTCACTGGAGCTGTTACAGTCATGGAAACACGGAGGGAAAGGAAGCTCTCCCTTTGTTAATCCCTTTGCTAATAGAGAATGCTCATATTCTTGCTTTTCAGGTTGGTCTGGAGTGTGAGAATAGCTTCAGTATGGAATAGCATCCAAGGGACACAGGGGAGTGGTGGGAGCTGCGGGTGGGTGGGCAGTGTTGGGCTTGGCCCCAGACCTCTGGGTAAGCCAGCCAGCCTGAGCTGTGCTTTCATCTCAGGTGAGAGCAGCATGTTGAATTCAGGCAGCAGATGAAGTCATGTTTGCTAGAGCGGTACCTTGAAATTAAAGTCCAGATTACATCAGGAAATACTGTCATTCAAAAATCACCCAAGCTAATGGAGTTATACAGAAATATGCTTTGGTTAGTTCTAGCTGGTCACCCTTTTGGAGCTTTTTCTGTTTCTCCTAATTGACTTGTTCAAGTGACCTTTGCTGTTAAATTCTCACTCTGTGTGATTTGTAGAGGTTTTTGCTTATTATCTTTGGAATAAGATTAGCAGAAATCGGATGCCGAAAGCCCACCTTTAAACTGGTAGTTGGATTTTGGAAGATGCTGGCCCTGCACTAATAACACTGAATAATTTATGCAGAACCTCAGTCTTTATAAAAAATTTAAGAGCCAAAGTCCAGATCTCCAACACATTTTGGTTTTGCTGGGACATCTTGGCACCATGCCGTGGTTCTGCAGTGCCTTTTCTCCTTGCTGCAATTTGTGCTCAATAAGCTCTTGATCGGGCAGCCCCACCAAATTCTGCTCAGTTCAGCATTGAACAATTCCAGATGCTATAACCATTCTTGGATATTTACTTAATAAAAGGTTAAAGTCGAGTCATCAAAGCCATATTCTTTCACTCAGAAGCGATGGTTTGAATAGGCACAGAAATTGTTGTTGGAAGAGAAAGTTTCTTAATTGTACTTTTCAGGGCAAAAAAAACTCACTCTCAAATGAGCTGCCTGATTCATGGGGACAGCTAAGAACTATGTTGCATGGAGTGTTACCAACTGTAACACTTACAAAGATACTGAATGTGTAGGGATCTTTGTGGAATTTTTGCACATTGAAGCATTATCAGAGGAAGTCTGTAAGTTTAAATGTTGGTTGGCTGTTTTTCTATAAAGAGAACATAATGTGAACTGAACCGGTATCCTGTAACAGATAAGAATAAAGCAAGCTAAAGAGATAATAATCTGGGAAAAGTCATTAATTATGTTTATTAAAGTTTTGAGTATCATCAAATGAGGCTCTTCTGATACATTACTAATCAGAGCTGTTTTATTCAGAAGGCTTTTCTGCTCTTCGTTTTCATCAAAAAAGTTTCTGTTATCTTTGGACCAAGACTTCGGGTTATTTATTTTGTAAAATAATAAAAAGTTTTATTATTCACAAGATATTTAAAGGAAAAAGTTCCACTGGATTGTTAAACATCAAATATAGTTTTTCTTTAAAATAGGAAAAGAATCAAGAATCATATCAAGTGTCTTGAGATGGCAGACAAACATATGTTCTTAAGTTATTTCAAATGGGGATTTTTGGTTTTATTCTCAAATAGGTCTTCCTGGTCTTTCATTCTGTTTTTGCAATCCCACTTCCTTAAGTCGCCATTTCTTTGACATATCAAACACAGGCTTACCTTCCAAAACGTGGGATAATCCCCTTCCTTATTTAAATTACTCAGTTTCTCATCAGCATCTGCCTTCTCCAAGCCAGTGACTATTTCCAGATACTCATTTTGCTTATCAGACAAGCCCTTTCATGTTTTATGCCATTACAAGAGAAGAAATATCCTCACAAGCAAGATTAGTGATGGCTCCCTGTTTTCCTTCAGCTGCTTTTGTGACCTGTGCCCTGCTCTGAGGGGACCTGTGGGGAAGAGTGAGGCAGGAAAAGAACTGAAACAACTGTGGTTGTCACTTCTGAGAGTTGAAGAGTTACACGGTCTGCTGCATTATTGTAAAGGAGATACAGCTTGGTCAAGACTTTTGTGACTAATAATAATAAATTCTAGGAGTGTCCCACATATATAGGTATTTTACAAGTGTGGTTGTTAATATGAAATGGGAAATAGTGCCTGATGTAGTGTTTGCTCCTGCTGTTTGCTCCCTGTCACCGCTGTGTAAAAACTGCTTTTGAGGTTGTTATTTATTTGAAAGCTGCAAAGTGCATTGTTTCAACTTTCTACATTTTGAGTTAATTTATTACACTGTGGAGGGCAAGGACTTCCTGGGCTTCACTCAGGACTCTTCTATTGTATGTATGGAAAAATAATGAAGGAAATCCTAGCTTCCTCTTAGCCTCTGAAGACTTCTGATTCCCACCATTTGTTCTATGAAATGAAATTAGCTAAATTAAAAAATCTTTATGCTGCTATTCTTGCATAATCTGTAGTGCATTGCTATATTCAGTAATTTCTGAATAAATAAATGCTTATAAAATAAATGCTTATTGTTTAGATATTTTGCACATGGAATTCTTATCAGTCTGTCAACTTAAAGACTTCTTGGGTTGGAGTTTGTATTTGTACTTTAAACTTGGTCTGTTTACTTTTAGGAAAAGTTAATTTCATTCATGTCTTAATGATAATTTGTTGTGTTGGTGAATTTATTGAAATTATTATCATTATTATTATTATTATTATTATTATCTAAATTGCCTTCTCCTTCTGGCTTAAAAAAAAACAAACCCTGACTTCAGAGCTTCAACAGGTATCAACAGTGACAATTTACAAGGTGTTGTTATAGTACCAGTGTCAGTATGATCAGGGTTAAGATTGATAACTCTTTCTTCATACTTGTATGGTTCATGGCCTCTTCGTGGAAGTTCAAAGTTAGTGTCTTCATCTGGTATATTCCATGATATTTTAACCAAAAGCATGAAATGAAGAATGTCATTCTTAGGGCGAGGCATTTCCATTTCACTAGGTCATAGTGGAGTTTGCAAGAGTCAAAATATATTTGATAGCTCTGAACTTTCTAATTCCACCTGCTTGTATTTCAAAGTGCTTGCAAGCTGTGTTTTTGTTTACCTTTTGATATCTATTTTGCATATTTGTACGTTGATTGTAGTAGATCCTGCTAGTGCTCCTGGATAACATCTTAGTAGTTCTGTTTGCTTTTAGAACCTTTACAGATGCAGAGACTGTCTGCAGGGATCTGCTGCCTCGTTTGGAGGAGCCCCAGGGTGAAGGCATAGAGCCATCAGGTAAGATGATCCTTGGAAGATCTTTGATGATCCTTGGAAATTTGACCTCTTCTTAGATTTTTTTTTTTAATGTAATTTTTGTGTCTATTCTAGCAGGTTTTGACTGACAATTTCTTAAGGCTCAGTTAATGGAAGACAAAATTAAAACTGAAGTGAGTCAGGGCAGCTGAAAATTTTTCAGGAGTTGCCTGCAAATTTGCATATGTTTCTGGCAGTCTTTGTCTGTATTTGAAATGATGACTAGATAAAAATTAAAAATAGCTTGATCCTATTGAGAATCATGCAAATTGTTGTGTTACCTTTGGCATCACAGCCTACTCACCAGCTGTCACCTGGGGAGGATTTGGTGTGCAGTGTAATGACTGGAGGCTTTAAAGAATACCTGTGCTTTGGTCAATTCTGTGTTGCATCAGAGCATGTGCTCACTGGTGTTATTTAATCCAACTGCAGTGCTGAATGGCTTGCCTGAATGTGCTACCATGTGGCTTAAAGGAGGTTTGCTAGCAGAGCTTTCTGAGGTTCTTTGGAAGGTTTGCAGCCCTAAGAGAGTTCCCTCTTGCCTTGGAGAGGCTGCTGCTGGTATCTAAATGTGCTCATTAAAACAAAATATTGTTCTAGGAGAAAACTGAAGCAGTGAGCATGTAGCTATCTGATCTATGTAGGAATCTTGCATGCAGACTTTATACATGTGTATAAATATTTATCTGTATGGATATATAGTTACTTTTCAATTGGCAGGTCTTTGATATACAGTAGGGTTCTTTCCAAGAAGTGAACTGCTAGGTGTATGCTTTCAGTGAGTAGGAAATAAATGTAGATGAATAAAGGCAAACTCCTGCTTTCAAATTTACAGAGTATCTTACTGCACTGATTGAGCTACACAATCTCTATGTAGATTGTCAGCGAGACTGATTCTGCAGAGTGCTTGTGTGCTTGTGAAGGCTCTGACCTATTTTCCTAAGAATTTATCTGGGACAGTGGTTAATGCTGTCAGCTCCCTACCTGCTTCTCTCCCAGAGGTTGCTGAAGTAAGCTGGGCTGTAAAGCAGTGCTCCAGCAGGAATGCACATGTCATTCAGCCACTCCTGCAAGGGTGACCACAGCCTGTGCCACGAAGGTGAGGTGAACAGCTAAGGATAGAAGCCATTCCAGCTGTTCCATCATAATTGTCCTGCAAACACAGGCCACGCCTTATCCATTTTAATTAAGCAGTTCCTTTATTGGTATTTAGATATGTTTCTAGTTGATGAATCAGGAGCTTACAATTTGTTAGTCTTTGTCTTCTATTTGACTTTGGGAATCTGTGGCACTACTTGTTATCCATTTAAATTGGAAGCAGTGTTTAACTTGGAAACATAACACTGCTATGGAGACTTTGAGTGGTGAAGTGAGGGCTGAATTTCAAAAACTCCTCCCAAAAGATCTTTCATGAGAAGGAAGTTCAGTGACTGGTTGCAGGAGGTCTACATTGTATGTAAAGAGAAAAGGAGGAGATTCTGATATCTTCTAGTTGTTCAGAACTGACTTCCTTGCTTTATAATTGATACATTCTGCAATCTCAGGAGTAAATTTATCTAATGAGGACCACAGGTTGTTCTGGAATTTTTCCCCCATTGCTTTCTACCAATGTATAGAAGCTCATTCCTGTGGAACCAGGCCAGATTTGGAGTTTTCTAATGCATATGTAAATCCAGAGTACCTTTACTGTTGGCAGCAGGCATTATATTGACTTAAAACCAGTGTGAAGTTAGAATTCATCCATGCTGGTTTTATACTGATGGAATCAACAAAATAATTTATGTCAGAAAAGAGCACTGGAGGGCAACTGGGACATCTTTCTGGTCGTAGGAATCCTTGTGGCTTTGTTCAGCTGAGTTTTGAAAACCTCCAGGGAAATTGTACAGCTTCTCAGTACCTCTTCATAGGCTGAGTCACCTATATTGTGAAATTCTTGATCCAGCAAGAATTTTCCTTGCTGCCAGCTCATGTCAGTTGCCTCTTGTCCTTCTGCTGTGTGCCTCTGAGAAGAATCTGTTTTCCTCATAGTACCTGCTTCAATCTTTGACAAACTGCAGGTAGATGCATTTTTTATCTTCTCCAGACTGGAGAAACACAGTTCCTGCAGGGATTCTTGTATGTGGTGTGCTCCAGACCCCTGACTGGGTGGGAGTCCCATTTTTGGGCTTGTGCCAGTTTGCTTGTCAGGATCTCTCTCTTGCACACTGTTTCAGGGGCAACCTCAGGGACACTGAGTAGGGGGAAATAATCCCTTTCCTTGGTCTGCTGGCTTAATCTTGCCCGTGCAGCCAGGAGTGCAGTTAGCCTTCATCTCCACTGGGGCACACAATTGACTGGCAGCCAGCCTGTCCAGCAGAACCATGGGGGTTTTCCTGCTGAGCCAGCTGCCATCCAGCCCATGCTGTGCTATGGGGCTGTCCTCCCCAGAGTGCAAGACTTGGCTTCACCCTTTTCGACCTTTCAGGTTGCGTCAGCCCATTCTTCCAGTGTGCTGAGGTCCATCCAGATGGCCTCCCTGCCTTTTGTCCTGTTGATCACTTCCTCAGGTTTGCTCATTGAAGCTGGTGAGGGTGCATTCTATTGTCCAGGACAACAGTGCCATCATTGTTCAGTGTCATTCTCACAAGTAACCCCTGAAGAATGTCACTTGGAATTGACTGCTACCAAGACTTAGAATTGTTGACCACTGTTCTTAAAGACTACTTGTCCAGTCAATATTTTGTCTACCTGTTCATCCAATTGCAGCTGGTTCAAACCTTCCAAGGATGCTGGGCTATGTAGAAGTTGTCAAAGACCTTGTTAAAGGTAGAGTAAGCAATGTGCTGCTGCTCTCACTTTGTCAGAGCTAGTCAACTCATCTTGGAAGGCAGGTGGGTTATATTTACAGGGCCAAGTCAAGGGTGGCCATTCTGGCTGGATTCAGTCACCATTTTATAGCTCAAAATGATTTCTAGGAAGAGTTTTTTCTATAGCATTTCCATGGACTGAGGTGAGGCTGATTGGCCCTTGGTTTTTTGCATCCTCTTTCTTCTGCTCTTTGAAGATAGGTGTGGCATTTACTTTTTTTTCTCGTGATGGGGACCTTACCAGGTTGCTGTGCTTTCTTGAAGATGACAGAGAGAAGCTTTGGGATGGCTTTGACCTGGTTTCTCAGTGTCCACTGTGAAGGACCCCATCTGGTCCCATCAGCTCTTTTGTATGTGTCCTGTTTATGTAAGTGCTCCCTACTTTGATGTTCTGCTGCTGTAGGTAAAACATCTCGCCTTCCACTAGGCATGCAAGCTCAGGAAGCCTGACCTTGCCAGTAAATACCTCGGTGGAGAAGGCCCTGAGAGCATCAGTCCTTTGCATGTCTTGTGTCAGTGAGTTGCCCATAATATCACTGGTTTTCCCTCTGGTTGCCACTGTACCTGTAAAAGCCCTTCTTGTGACTTTTCACATTACTCACCAATTTCAATTCTGAGTTTTGACTTTCCAATCCTGCATGCCTGGGCAATGTTTCTGTAGTGATGCTTCCTCCTGATTACACCCTCCACACGCTTTCATTTTGGTGCATCGTAATCAGTTTTAGAAGCGTCAGTATTGTTATGAAGCTTGTTTTGTATGTGTCCTGGTGCACCACTCCCTCCATGTCAGCTCTTGGAGGCATTCTTAGGAGGATATCTTATTTCTCTGGTCCACACTGTAGGAGTTTACTGATGCGAAGAGCAGTATGTTTTATTGTAATTAATAATTGTTCCCTTTTCCTGCAGTGGAAAAAGTAGAAGTTTCCATTAATTGAAATATTTTTGTGTGTTTTGGCTAATTTAAAATTATTTCCTCTATTTATTGTCTTTTCTGTTAGAGAGGGTAAAATTATTTGTTTATTGTGGAAAACTGGTAATATAGCAGAAAACCCTTTTCCTCCCCCAGCTGTGGCAAGACAAGCCACAGGAGCTAGTTTGTGTGTTTTATTAGAAGAATCACTGTGTGTTTAGGCTGGTTGAGGCTTTCAGGTTCACTTGAAATTCCAAAATTCTGTACCTTTGTTTAATCTGTTCATTGGCCCAAGGAGAAGTTTGGCACAGATACCAAGTTTGCAGACTCTAAACAGTGTGTATTCAGCTCCAGCTCTTACTAATATGAAGTTAATCTTTCAGGGCCACAGACATCTTGAAGAAAAGTGAGAAATAGTGGGTGAGAGGAGGAATGATGTATTTCTGTTGACAGCAGAATGTGACGGCGTCATAGCTGTGGAATCTTGGATGATGACTGACAGGAATGCCTCCAGCAGAGAGCTGAATTCCTTCTCTCGTCATTAGGGCAGAGTGATGTTTTGCAGCATCTGGCATATAATCAAGACCCTGTTTTGTGAGTTAAATCTGATTAATTTTCAAGCAGAAGTTAAATTACTGGTTTACTTCTTGCTTCGCAGGGCATATCTATGGAATATCACTTGGAGTTTCTCAGATCATGCAGCAGGGCCATTCCACAATCAGCCTGTCTGTTTATCTGTCTGAAAGGTGACCTTGGGTCTTTTGCATTTTATATGACTCTCAGAGCTGTTCTTCCATAAACATCTGAATTCATTTACATTCTCAAATCCTTTCTGGCAGTCACTAGAATACTTGCAGGTCAGGTAGTGAATAGAGAGGTTTCACAAATTATATTAGCTTTAAGCTGTAGGATTTGTGTATTTCTCTTGATTTCCCTTGATCCTTCATGTATCCCAGAGGTCCAGCAGTTTCAGCCAGATTGATTATACATGGGGATAAAAAATTGTTATTTGTTTGTCTATTTAAAGTAATTTTTCATATCTGAGCTTGTACCATGTCAGAACTTCCTATTTTACATGGTGGAAGGAATAAACTGGCTGTTAAAAAAACACAAAATGTGTAATGTGTTCTATGTTGTGTATAACTTCAAACTTGGTATAAAATATTTGAATAACAAATGTACTTTTATAACACAGTATTCACATGGAAATGGTTCATAAGTTTAGGATTGTATTGTAAAAGATCAGCTGAAAACTGCAAATGTGTCTTTTAAGGGGTTCTTGACTACTTTTTTCCTCCTGTTAAGTTACTTGTTGAAAATTTACACTTCAGTTCCGATCTTGGTGGGAAAACTGCCCATCTAAAACCCTGGGTATTTAGATCAGCTTTTCTTAGAACAGTTCCCAAGACAGGCTGCAGTACAATGATCCTTTTATAACTTCTGAATGAGACTACCCTGAGCCATCTCTTCCTTCAGCAGGGAAGGCTGTGAAACATGGAAATTGAAGTCTGATTATGGAGTTTTTGGCCTTGGAGGAGAATGACATAGGGAAAAAAGTGTCCCTCCTGATCCTCAAAGAGTGACAGTCCAGATTTTATTACCTGAATAAAATCTCTGCTCTTCTTGTTTTATCTGACAATATAGCCTTCTAAAGTAGAAATCTTTTTGTAACATCTCTGACCTTCAGAATTCATATGAAGGACATGAGCCAAGGTCACATAATAGTGGATGAAAAAGCATTTTGAGTATGAAGTATAGTGCAGGTAGCAGGAGTTAGTGGAAGAAAGAGGAAAGGAACTATGGTTGTGTTTGGGGGTCTCAGGATGAGGGAAGAGATGAGAATTTTGACTTCATGTTTCAGAAGGCTGATTTATTATATTATAGTATTATATTATTTTAAAATGCTGTACTAAAGCTATACTAAAAAGAATAGAAAGAAAGGATTCTTGAGAAGGTTAACGAGGAAAGGAAAGGAATAGTGACAAAATCTCGTGACTCTCAGAGAGTCCGACAGAGCTGAATCTTTGATTGGTTATTAAGGAGAAACAACTCACATGGATCAATCAAAGGTGTTGGTAAACAGTGTTCAGACCACATTCCACAGCCATCAAGTAGTTGTTATTTACATTTCTTTCCTGAGGCTTGTCAGCTAGAATAGGAGAAAAATCATAAAAATATCATAGTAACAGGGAACAACTGCTCTTTGCTTGCATACAGAAAACTTTCAGTGGCATCAAGTGCTTTGAGCTGGAGTGCTGGGTTTTTTCCTTGTACTCTGTGAAGATACAGTTGTATAATGTACCAGTGCTAAGAGTGTATATTGAGGGGTTTTGTTCTGATCTCCACTTTGGTTTCAGGAGGTACTAAGTTGATTTCCAACCTGGACATTGCAGGTAACTTTCGGATGCTACTGAGGCAGAACACCTGTTTTGCTTCTTCCAGCATTTATAATTGATGCATTTAGTATTTAGCCAGGCATTCCTTCCCAGGCACTTTGTACAAAGAATAAGCCCTCTGCTCAAAATCCCTCTGCAAACTGACAGAGGAATATATTGTTCACGTTATGTTGTTTTTACTAACTCTGTGGACAGACAAATTAGATTTTTAGAATTATTTGGCTTATTGAGATTTCAGAACTGTTTTAAGTTCTACCTGCAAATACATGCAAAAGCAGACACTAAATGGGCATTCAGGTTTATATTTGTTTATGCTGTATCTTGAGTATTATTGTGATGCAGAGTCTCTGAAAGTGATTCTGTTCCTTGTCTTTGATATGAATCAAAGATGCCTTTTTAACAGCAGAGAAACCTGCATAAGGAAAACAAAAGGAAACCCAGTTTTCATGTACATTTTTGGTTTCTGTGTATAGATATTTCAGGGATTTGATTGATTTTCATTATTCTCTGGGGGCAGTGCTGTTATCTGCTGCACATGTGAAGTGGAAAGACCATATTTAATGCAACTTCTGTGCTGTTATTGTAGTAATGTTGCTAGTATTTTCCATTTCCTTCAAGAGAGGAATGTTTTATTCAGGAAAGTTTGTAATATATGGACCAGAATGTATTTTAGTGCTGTATGGTATGATTTTGTTTTGAACAGAGCAGTCACCTACCTGTGTCCAAGCACACCTGCAATCCCTGATGCCTTTGTTTTGGAAGCCAGAACATATATATATATATATAATTTTTCATCTGGGCTTTGGTGTGTCACTGCATACAATAAACATTTGGATTAACAATAGCTTCTGTCTCTGACAGGTCTTACCTCTCATCCTTTTCAAGCCTGCTTTGGGGTTAAGTGCAGAAACAGCTGCTTTGCCTTCTCAATTCATAAAGTATTTATTGGGTGCGACTGCTTACACTTTGATAAAGTCTGTCTATTACCTAAACTCCTTCTCAGCAACTTGTTTCTAAACTGTCTGGATTTATGATGCCCTTTCTCCACTGACCTAAGCACAGCTCCGCACCTGTGTTTTGGAAATCATTATGTGCCATTTGCTCATGAGAAAATGAAGGCACTTGGAGATGAAGCAGCCTAATTTGTACTTATTGTTGTCATTAGCACCTTCTGTTTGTCAAGAGAACAGTGCAAATCTGCCAGCCAGGAGCAGGAATGGAATGAAATGTTTGTGAGCTTACAGTAGTTTGCTGTGCCTCTGGCTCTTAGTGTAGGCTGCAAGTGTATTCTAAAGCACTGCTGTGGATCCAGTTGTGGCTGATGTGTGCCTGTATTGCCACAAGTGCTCAGAGAGGCAGTTCCCAGACCTCTGAAGCAACTAGAATAACATTGGAGAGGGGTGTTGTGTATTGAGAGATGCATGTTGTCCTTTTGAACACTCCAAAACTGCTCTTTTTCAGCCACTGAGGTAGCAGGAAACAGCACAGATACTAACTGAGCTTGCTTTACAGTTTTTGCTTTCCATAGGTGTAGTAAAATGCAATTATGCTTGTTAACTTGTATTAGGAATTACAAAAAGTACTGTTTTCTGTTACTCTTAATTCTTACAAACCCAAGCACTTTGGTCTGAAAGTTTTTCACCAGCTCACTGTAGAATATATCAATTTTTTTACGCCTATGCTAAAAATATTGCTTCATTTATAAAAGTACATCTAAGGAAAAAAAAATTCGTAAAAAACTATTTTGTTCATAAGTATGGGAACTGTTTGATGGGGGAGTCGTGGGAGGGTTTGTGCTTTCCTTGTGAGAATTCACCTGAATTTTGCCAACTTATTACCCCTAGATCCTCTAAGGAGTGTATTCACACTCAGCCTCTTGCAGGGTTTGCAAGAGCCAAGGACAGTCTTTGAGGCAGTCATTTCTTGTGAGTGCCAGGGACTGTCCCAGTCCTTGGCACCAGTGGTGAGAGCCAAGTAACATTTTTTGGTGCTCTGCATCTTTGTCCTGTCAAAGAAGGGGAGAAAAAAATACAGGGAGAAAAAAGGGGATGGTATAAAGACAGGGTGAGGAAGACAAGAACAGAAGATGAAAACCGGAGCCAGGGCAAGACAGGAGTGAGTGGAATGGACTCATTAGCACATGGGACACATGACCAAGGGAAAAACTGTGGGAAGTAGTGAGGAACAGGGATAGGATGAGGGAGAATAGCTGGAGGGGCAGGAGGGAGGGAAGAGTTATAACACACAAAAGGAGCTTGGATACTGAACAGAGTGGAGGTTTCATATCTTTTGTATCTCTTTAGCCTTCTGATTCACCAGCTACTCCATTGGCACAAGGGGGAGTGCAGAGCTGAGCGCGGGCAGACAGATTCTTCTGGAACTGGGGGTGTGCCTGCAACACACAGATCATCAACATAATTCTGTATGGCACTTTCGTTCAAGATGCAGAACAAAGTACAAGAAATAAAGATTTCTATTTCTACTTGGTATATTTGAGAGCAAGAGAATTGGAAAGCCCTTCTCTCAAGAGCTGGGAAGTGCCAGAGTTGTGCTTAGTCCTGTGGTCTTTATTCAATCCTCTTGTCTTCTGGTACACAGTCACATGGTGTTTTTCGATTGCAGATTACCTTGACAATGGTGCTTTACCTTCCAGAGTCTCTGTGGACTTCTTTTGCTGATGGCAGAGTCAGACTGAGAATAGATAACTCATGCCCACAGACTCCCATAACAGTTCATCAGATGTTCAAGGAGAGCCTGGAAAAATATGGATCCCTTAATGCTTTGGCCAGCAAAAAGAATGGAAAATGGGAGAAAATAACTTTTTCAGAGTATTACTGCCTCTCTAGGAAAGCAGCCAAGAGCTTCTTGAAGGTAGGTGCATTTCTTTAAAAACCAAAAAAAAACCCAAATTAATAAAAAAACCCCAACCCCAAACCCCACAATATATAAGAGGTTTTTTGCATTACTTGAAGATCAGTAGTCATATTCTTTATTGAAATGATAATTATGAAAATGAGTTTTGTTCAGAGGTAACACTGCTGTCAGGGACCTTGACTGCAAGTGAGGAGCTGCTGTGTTGCACTGTGTCTCTGGGACATGGGTGCAGAGCTCAGAAGAGCTCAGCAGCCTTAAGATCAAAAAAGAAAAATAGGGGAAAACTACTATCATGAATTTGGTTAGATAAAGGCAATCTTTAAAACATTTTAAATACAGGGTAATACTAGTACTCATTATGCTCTTGTTCATATTGAAATATTCTGGGTCTTGAGCCTTTCTGGGCAGCGGGGTTCAAGGAGACAGGAGAAGGCAGTGGAAAATTCCCATCCTGTTAATTGCTGGTAAATACCAGGTTTGCCATGGATACCAAAACATGCCTTCACATGCCTTGTCAGTACTGTAATAATAAATCAAAAGTTCTCATGGTTTATATTTGTGTGTATGTTTCTCTCCAGTGGGCCTATATTATATAACTGTATGTACATTATTTTTAAGCTTGGTCTTGAAAGATTCCATAGCGTAGCAATCCTTGGATTTAATTCTCCAGAATGGTTCATCTCAGCTGTTGGAGCTATTTTTGCTGGGTAAGATTTTTTTGGGGCAGTTAATTTTTGAGGGGGATTCAGGGATTTCTATTTTGCTAGGTCTGGGAATGTATCAAGTCAGTATTTTGTGTCATATCTTGGAAGTTGTGTTGCTACTGATTGACACTTCCAGCAGTCTGCTGGAGTCTTATATCCCAAGTAGTTCAGTCAGTCATAAATGGATCCTGTTTGCCGTGGGCTTAAGCATGACAGTCACACAGAAGCTGTTGTACAGGATCTTATCAATTGAAGATGTGGGAAATAGATGAGAATCACAGTTTTATATTAGTTATAATAATACAATATTAATGATATCTACGACAAAATATAATCAAGCAGGTGAAGTAACATGAATATTAACTACCCTGATTTCTTTGGTTCTGATACCTGTTAATTTGGATTTTACTTCTTAAGCTGTTCTGTACCAATGAAATCCAGATTGGTATCTGTGCACAGCTTGAACAAAAAGAGGACATAAGTGAGGATTTTTTTACCACTTCCTGAGCTAACTCTTGTGTAACCTTAAGTGAGTTAAAACACTGAGTCCTAGCATCTTCTGCTGAATAGTTTAGAGATTAGTTTTTGCAATGAGCATAAATCAGAGATTCATGTATATCTGAATATGTGAAACAAACATTAGAGCTGTTCTGCTGTTTGCTTCCACATCTTCATACCCCTTCAGGTTTCACCTGATCTTTGATTATTATTCTCCTCTTTTTATACTATGTGCATGTGTATGTGTGTGTATGCATATAAATGTGTGTTCTTATATGTATAAATGTTTTGATGCAGAGGAATTGTCACAGGAATATATACAACCAATTCTCCAGAGGCCTGTCACTACATTGCCCATGACAGCAGGACTGATGTCATGGTTGTGGAAAATCAGAAACAGCTGGACAAGATAATGCAGGTACAAGGTGGCTGAATGATTACTGAAAAGCTACAATTTTTCATTTCTCAATGCTGTGTTGGTCCCAAATACTTTGTACACTCTCTGTATCATGAAACCTTTCTTTGTGAAGTGTGTGTTGTTTCTCAGAAATCTGGTATCCAGCGTCAGAGCTCTTGGGTGGCTCTGACCCTCTGCAGTGTCTGTGGCTCCAGCAGAGAACTCACTGGATGGTTCACTGCAGGCTTACCTGAAAAAAACCCACATTTTGATCCCATGTTTTTACTATCACCACCTGATCCTGTTTGGAAAAGCACAGTCCCACGTGAGTGGAAGAGATTATGCTGATGCAGGTTTGTAAAGGTCTGCCATTTAAATATTAAGGATGTCAGTGTTCAGAATTTTCTCTTTCCAAGTTATCATCTTTTCCTGCTTGTAATATCAGCCATTAAGGCTCTTGAGTTTACTGCACTTTGGTAGCATCATGATTAACATGAGACAGAGCTTAGTAAGAAAGCAGGAACCTCCTTAAGTGAACAGTCTCAATTTTGACAGAACTCTTGGGCAGCTGGGCCTGCCTTTCAGCAGCAGTGCCAGATGGAAAGACCAATCTGATGGCAAGGTGACTTGGGAGAGAAGCACAGGCAGCTCTTGGGAAGGGCTTGTCTGTCTGTCAGATGTTGAGGGAGGCCTGTGGACTCATTAAACTTGCACCAAATTGCACCGTTTGCTGAAGCAGGAGAACCCTCCATGATGGAGCTTTCTGCCAAGACCACATACCTGCAAGAGAGAAAATATGCAGTGTTTTTTTTTCAAATGCATTTAAGATAAATTGTTCATTAATTACTTTATATTTTGTAGTTGTGTTTTATATGCCATATGGAGGAAGAGAAATTTTTGTAAGTATTCTGTAAAAACACACAGATAAGCCTTCTGAGAGTGTCATTGACACAATACCAGGCTATGCTGTTGTGACATGGAGAGAAGAATCCAAATGGAACAACTCAAGGGATTTGGTTCATACACATTATGTTGAAGAAGAGAGCTCTGGCCAGCACTGCTTTATCCAGCAGAGGGGTTTTTTGGAACTTTTTTTCTGGAACCCAAGACTGAAATAATAACATCTCAGTTGCTGTCCTTCTAATAATATGTACATACTGGCTACCATCGAGCCACTGCTTTTGTATTGGCAACATTCAGTTCAAAATGTGATTAATTGAAAGGCATCTGTGAGGCATAGAGTCTCACAGAATTCAGTGAAATCAATGCTTCCTGTAGGCCATGCAAAGCACACAAAGAGCTGCTGAAAGCAGCAGCCACTCCTGTAGGCCTGCAGCTTTATATTTTCATTTCTCCTTACAATGTGCGTACAGCTTCCTTTGATTTTTTTCCTTAAGGAAGTAGAACTTTTTTTAGCACTTGAACATCACTTTTTGCTGAGGGACTTTATTGGTAATCACAGGCCCAGATCAGCTTCTAGCTTGGCCTGCACTGGTCCTTTATGTGCCCTTTTGGGCATTTTGAGAAAGGATGCTGAGGAGCCATTTCTGGTATATTTTTCATTTTTTAAACCTTTTGACTGAAACTAGATTTCCTGGAGCAGACTGTGTAGTCTGTGTAGACTATGTAGTTCTTTTCTCCTTCCCCCACCTCTAGCTGAGCTGGTTGGTGATGACTTTAGGGGAGAATATTTGGAGGTGAAGGGAGATGGGAGGTTCTTGTGCCGGTCAACCCATTACAGTTTTGGCAGCATTAGAGTGGGTAAAAGCCCACACAAGATGTGAATAATAAATAACTTTGTTTTAAAAAATGCAACAGATCTGGAATCGGTTGCCCCACTTGAAGGCTGTGGTGCTGTATAAGGACTCCATTGCAGAGAGACATCCAAATTTGTACACGGTGAGTGGATACTAGAACAGAGGCATAACCAAATAATGCATGGGTTATACCTATGGATTACCAGTTAATATGTGGGCTGTTATTTATTTGATACATTTTTCCTGTGATTATCTGCCCTTTAGAATGCATTGCTGTGTTCCAGCAAACACATTCAAAAGCTTTATCAGCTTTATCTGTTCAATTTACCTTTGATACTTCACATTTAAGAAAAGGGCTGCCTTGCTTTACTGTCTGTCTTGTGTTTTCCTAATTTTTAACTTGACTGGGTTATTAAAACACCTGTAGGTTTTAGGTGGGAATGTGTACTCTCAAATGGTTAAAAAGAAAAAGTTACTTCCTGGTGCCTGTGAATTTGGATTTTTTTGGTTTTTTTAATCCAGTATTTTAACTGGACTACAGATCAGATTTTAGGCTGAAAAACTTCAGCTGTTGAAAAATTATATTGAAGAGAAATATAATGTATTCAGTGTATAAAATTATAATGAACAGTGATAATACTTGCAATTTTGATAATCTGATAAGAAAAAAGTCTTCTGTGCCTTTTTAAAAATATCTTGCATATAACTTAATAATAAACTGTTATTGTTCCAATACTATACATACTGGTATAGAGCATGCTTTGCATCTTGTACAATAAAAATGTTAATACAAAGATCTTTTACTATTTAAAAAGATTAGGTGCTAGCATTTAATTTTTGAAAAACTTGCACTTACTGAAATCTAAATGGGTGAGAATTGCTGTATTTTTAAATGCTGGTTCAGTGTTCAGGTGTCATGTTGGACATTTTCTCAGAGGAGCCAGTGTGAGTGTCTGACAGGTGCCATAGTTTATGTCATCTAAAGGAAAAATGAGAGATCAGATCACCAGAGGCAGAAGTTATTGCTGCTGAGCTGTGATGTGGAGCAAACCACCAGCCCACGCAGTGTTTGATGGAAGGGATTTGTGCTGTGTGATGAGCGGCAGCAGAGGCAGAGCTGGCTGAGCAGTGCGTGTTTCCAGAAGGCAAATGCAGAGTCAGGAGTGTGGTGTGACTGTTTCTGTACCTTTTGCACTTGCTGGAATGCCAACACCATCTGTTACAGGTGCTGTTCAGTAAACAAAGCCTGCACAACAGATTCTCAGTGATCAGTGCATTCCACTGTGAGAACACAGTATGGTCAGGAAAGCAGGAACAACTGCTTAGTGACATACAAACAATTACGTCCTTCACACCACCAGGCTTTCCAGGAGCTTGTGAAACTGATGCAGCCACATTCTGTGGGGAAGCAATAGAATGTGACAAATCCCTGATTTGCTACAGAGCTCTGAAGTGCCTCTCTTTTTAGAGATGTGGTTTGTTGGAAGAAAGTATAAAACTGATGAATAATGCTTGGGGCAGCCTTGCCACCCAAGAAAAGGAGGTTAAGGTGCCACAGACGCTGACTATTGTAATCTTAGTAGCCCAGTGGTAATGCCAGATGTCTGAAAGAAGAAATGAACTACCCTCAAGCAGAGGCTCTCCTTTTTTACCTCTATTTTTCTCATCATCTCTATTACTGCTTTGTGGTCCTAGATATAGCTCCAAGAAATTGCTGAAAAATGACAGTGCTGCACCTTGCAAATAAATATTACACTTCTGTAGCACAGTATGAATCACATTATTGCAGTGGGAAACTGACCATTTGGTTATCCATTTTCTTTTAAAATTCTCTGATACTCTAGCTTCTAATTAGCATTGCAAACAATGTTACACTTAACAGCACATCAGGGGTATTGGGGAGCAACCCATGTAATACAGAGGAGCAGGTTCAGGATTCTTCTAGGCCAATTTGTGTGGCACAAAAGCCCAGTGTCGTAAAAGTTTTATCTCACTCTAGAATGAGCCACATTTGAATGGAAGTTGTGACCAGCATCATCATATGCTGTTTCCTATAAAAGAGCACATAATTTGGGCAAATATTCACATATCTAGATAATGATGTTTTTACAAAGAGGCTTTTGTTCAATTGCTTTATAGTTATATTTATATAATGTACAATGAATTATAGATGAGCTGTCACAAGTGTACTTTTAAAAATTATGCATCCAGGTTCCTTTAAATAATATTCAAAATCATTCTTATGGTGTGAGAATGTAACAGAGTTTTAGCCTCCATACTTATCCATAGTGTCCACGTTGGAGGAGGAACAGTATTACTATTCCTTCTTAGACATTGAAAAGACTCATGACAGCACAATTTTAGATGGTCTGTTTGCAATTCACACATTAAGCTCTAAGGTAGACTCACAATATTTCTTCCATAGCCAAGGTCTGGGGAACCTTGCCTTGGACATGTGTTCAGAACAAGGCACTGAAATGTTCTAACATTTTTGAGACAGGAAAGATGCAGTACCGTGTCAATTTGTAGGAAGCCATTTGGTATCTGTATTTTCTCTTCCATGTTCTAGATGGAAGAGTTTCTGGAGCTGGGAGGTGACGTCTCTGACAGTACTTTGGATGACATTATTAACTCCCAAAAGCCGAATCAGTGCTGTGTTCTGATATACACCTCTGGAACAACTGGGAAGCCAAAAGGAGCCATGCTGAGTCATGACAATGTAGGTACTTAAGGCACCTCCTGTAGCAGAGGAACAGCAAAGTGTGGGGATATTTTTTCTTGTGGTTTGAAGTGGCTGGTACATCCTAGAGCCCTGAAATGCTTTTGCTTTTACAGTGTGGATACTATACTGCAAAGCAAAGGGCAGTCAGCTGTTTCTGGTAAAGTACAAACAAGGGAAAAAATGAAACTCCATTCAAACAGCCCTTCACAAAGTTGAACAGTTCTTTATGAGTATGAAATTTTTATTCGCTATATTTCTTGTGAGATCTAATGCATGAATTCATAAATATAATTCACAGATTGCCATAAAGTCTCTCAAATGAATGTCATAGGTCACCATGAAATGAGCAAATCATCTACATCAGCCAGCTACTATCGAAACAGTCTGCTTTTGCAGATTTTATTAAAATTGGGGGTGGATGTGTGGACTTTTCACTTTGGTGTTTTTTGTTCCTGGACTTGTGTGCAGGTTTCTATGTCTGTCACTGGAGTATAATACAGCTCCAGTGCTCAGTGCTGGTGCTGACAGTAACCCTTACCTGTGTTGTTGCAAACAGAAAGTTCACAGTTAGAGACAAAAGCAAAGTTATTTGCTAAAAAGACTTTCCACAGAGGTTTGCTTGGAAAGATATGTGTTTGATGGCTGAGAAGGAGTGGAAGGTGATAGGGAACCTTTCTGAATAAATAGAGAATCTTTGAAAAGGGATGGTCTAAGTTGAGGCCTCACCCCTTAAAGCAGAAATTATTGCACACATGCACAATGTGAAAACAGCAATTCACCCAAATGTAGGGAATTAATGCACTAGTACCTGGAAGCAGAACATATGAACTTGGGAGACAAAAAGACTGATTGAATGTTACAAATCTATGCTCTTTTATATCAAAGGAGTCTGGTGTCATTTCCATGCCAGCTGCCAAACTATTCTTGGCTGCTGATCACAAACAGGCTATTTTTATGTTGACAAACAGTGGAAAGCATGCCATGCCTGTAGCTCTGCTGCTGCCTTCTTTAGTCAAAGATGTTTGCCACTGTTCATGTGCAAAACCAGTGCTGAGTCAGTCCTGCATGACTCTTACAGATCTGCTGTGTGTGCCTGTGTGCTGTGAAGCTTGAAGTAAAAGCAGTGAACACAGACACATCTTAAAGACATCCTGTTCTTCCTACTATGTGTCTCCCACAGCTGCTTGTCCAGCACTGCCACCTAAACTTGGATGGCCTGGCAGTATGCTGCTCCTTAAAACCCTCTCTTGAGAATCTCTATTTCCTTAGGCCAAGCCTACACTTGTACCTTCTAATTTATTACAAAGGAATGTGCTGTGATAACAGGAATACATGTGGTTTATGTCTGTACTCTGCCATCTTAATACTCTCATTTCTATATCCTGCACTACCCAGTTTAGATTACAGACTCCTCTGAGAAAGAGCTGTTTCTTTTTGTTATTTGGGGTTTTCTGGTTTGCTTGGGTTTTTTTAGGGGGTGTTGTTTGTTTTGGTTTTTATTTTTGTGCACATGTATCTTCTCCATTGTCTCTCACACCATCACGTATATTTATGCATCTTCCATATGCTATGTTCTGATGATGAAGGTATGCATATTTAGCATTCTTGAGCTGCATCTTCTGAGATAAAGTGGGAAATAGGAGGAAGGAGGGGGAAACATGATCCAGGTTCACTAAGAAGTCAAGCAACACAACTTCAAAACTATTCGTGTATGTGCTGCCTCTCACGAGAGGCGTGGGCGTGTGTGTCACTTGGGAACCACTGCAGTGAATAAATATCCCAGAGGCTTCCAGAGGAACAGAGTGCAGCTGCTGTCTTCCTCCTGAGAGCTTAGCCAGGGGATCATCAGTACCAGACAATGAGTTTGTGGCTGATTCTAAATTGTCCTTTGAGCTCACCGATCACTGAGTATTTATTGTTCCTTTTCTAACTTGTATTGGAGCGGACCAGTATTACTGACAGGACTGCCTTGGTGTGTCTGGTTCCAGCTGCTGACCGAACAGCGGCCCCGTGCTCCTTCCTCCCCAGGGACGCTGTTCGGTGCCTGTGCTCGCACTGGGCACGTGGGGACAGCCCGGGCGTGCCCCGAGCTCCAGGGCCTGCGGCTGGGGCTCGCTGTGAGGGGGTCACTGCTCTGCCTCCCTGAGCTGGAGGAACCTTTGAGGCGAGGTGAAGAAAGGAGCGGGTCCCGATGGAGAGTTTTTAATCCAGAGTTTTTATTTTGGTGGCACGGCCTCTGAATCCTGCAACAGCTCCAAGAGCACTCCCGACCGCGTGGTGTGCTTCCCTTTTACCTGGGCAGAGGGGCAGGGGAGGGGACCCAGGGAGCACCAAGCAGGTATGAGGGGAGGGGGTCTCAGGTGAGAGGGACACCTGGGTGGGCCAATGGCCCCCCAGGGGGTGGAGAGCATCCTTTGAACCTGCCAATTGCTCGACGCTCTCCTTGGAATTTCTGGGTTGATAGACAGTGCCCAGCAGGGGTCAAGGGTGGGGAAAGGAAAGGTGATTGACACCCCACCTGGGGAAGGAAATTTCAGGGAGGAACCACGGGAAACTGAGGCAAGTCATGACATCACACCGCAACAAACTTGCAGATACAGCACTGATGGAAGGTGCCAGTTTAAATAGAAAGCTTGCAGAGCTGGAGAGTTGGAAAGGAAGGAACAGATCAGTTTGTTTCTCATCCATCCAGCCCATGGCTGCCTGGCTGTGTCACTAGGGAATGGGGAGCTGCTAGTGTTCACAGCCCAGTCAGGCAGCACAAATGCTGTATTTACTTATGTTATCTGCTCTTCTGTATTGCTGCAAAGGTAATCTGTCTTTTGGCAGTGTCCCCAGGGAACTGACAGACTGGTGTGTGGTCAATATTGCAATGTCTTTCTGTGAGCACAGATTTTTCACAGTTTCATTAGCACAGCAAGAGGATAACAAGTTTGTGTTAAGAGGAAGAAAAGAGAAAAACCCAACCCAAAATCCCGACCATACCTAATTTGTTGTATTATTTATTTAAACAGATAACTTGGACATCAGCCCATTGCAGCAGAGCAGGAGGTATGCATCCTGCAGAGGTCCAGCAGGAGTCCATAGTCAGTTATCTCCCACTCAGCCACATAGCTGCACAGATCTATGACCTGTGGACTGGAATCAAATGGGGAGAGCAAGTTTACTTTGCTGAGCCAGATGCTCTAAAGGTACCTTGTCTTGCATTATATCTAATTAAGGTTACACTTCTTTCTCTTAGAAAACATCCCAAGGAGAGAATATGATATTTGAAAAGTTGTAGAGGATGAAGATGGAGAGTCCATTATTGTGAGAGTTATGGAAAAATAAAGCTCATTGTGTTTGTGATCCAGTGCTCTAGATTCTAATTAAAATATATAATTCATATTCATAAGGTTCTTTTAAGGCAAAAGAAGTATAAGCAGGTTTTGGAGAAAAGGGAGGCTGGAGGAACTAACCGTGTGTGTTTTTCCTCCTTGTGTACATACCTCCTCCAGTGTGTCAGTCTGACACATATTAGTGCATATGGGTGACTGAAGTGGGCTCAGCAGCCCTTCTTTATGTTCTGCATATTTAGTGATGTTCTACAGAATGAAACATTCAGGTTTTACTTCACCAAAACTCTTTATCTCTGCTGTGTGCCTTTTGTTGAAATTATTTCATTATTATAACAGGGCAGCTTGATCAACACACTAAAAGAAGTGCAGCCAACATCTCACATGGGAGTTCCCAGAGTATGGGAGAAAATCATGGAGAAGTTAAAGGATGTTTCTGCTCAGTCAGGATTTATAAAGAAGAAAATCCTTTCCTGGGCTATGTCACTTAGCTTAGAGAGGAACCTGAATGGCTCAAACAGGTGTGTCATACAACGAGTGAGATTTCCAGCAACCTGAAAGTAGCAATTTGCTTGTAATAACCCATGAAGCCTCAGTGAGACTCTGTATAAGTGGGTAAAATCTGTCTTGGCAACACAGCAGATATAGTGCTCGGGGGAGGGTGTAGTTATCAATTGTTATTGATATGAATTGTTTTACAATGAAGTGGGGGAAATTTCTTACGCAGAATGGCATTCCAAATATCACTCCATGATATTCCTTTGCTCGTCTTATCGTTCAGTTTCTCAGATAGATCTTGCAAATTTCAGATTTCGATGGTGTAGGTTCTCAGAGACACATTTAACTGATAAAAAATCAGGAATACAAGAGCTGTGTTGTATACAATCTGTTTTTATAGATTCTTTATGTATTTGTTGAATTCAGATACCTCAAGAGTTGGAGGTAGGAAAGCTCCAAAGGCAGAAGAAATGAAAGACATGGAATAAATGGAAGAAGGATGAATGTAACACCTTACATCATGTTCTAACTTCTGTCAGCATCCAAAACCAAATGACAAATACATGTCCAAACAAAATCTGTCCCTGATTGTGTTTTGAAAACTTCCTAGGTTGCTCTGACTTACTTGTGTATTTTGTACCCAGCAGTGATCTAAAGCAGCTCTGCACAAGACTAGCAGACTACTTAGTGCTTGCGAAAATCCGCAGCGCACTGGGGCTTTCTTCCTGTCAGAAGCACTTTTCTGGTGCTGCTCCTCTCAATACAGAAACACTGTATTTCTTCCTGGGTCTGAACATCACTCTGTATGAGGCCTATGGGATGAGCGAGACCACAGGCCCACATTGCCTTTCTGGGCCTTACATTTACAGGCAGCACAGGTAATTTTGCTTTTATTACTATTTTTTTAATATGATCAGTTTAATTTTATCTATGAAAAAAGTATTTACTAAGATCAGCAAAGATACTGCAGCTTATTTTATTTTCCCTGAGTGCATTGCCACTCTGTTGTGACTTTGGGAGTCAGAATAACTTCCAGGTCAGAATTTGAACAGGTTGACTCCATAGCACACTGTGGCAGGAGCACTGAAACTGAGTTGTAGCATTACAGCCAAACACAGTGACTACATCTGATATTTACCATAGCCCTTGGCCAAGGGAGGAATGCAAAACCTCAAAATGGTTTTATAAAACCAAAAATGGTTTTATGCCTGCAGATACAGGGGGGCAAAGCAGCAAGCACAGGCTGAGACAGACTGCCAGAAAGTGCTCAGACACCTTGATAAATCTGCCCTAGTGAAGGAGTATTCCGTGGCTGTTGGACAGTTACAACATGATGATAATTGCAGTCACAGATACTTTGACAGTTTCAGGGATTTGGCACGTTGGCCAGTTTATCAGTATTATATTTGATGTTTCTGTGATCCTTGTGGGGTTTTTCTGCTCTTCTCTGGTAGCTGTGGTAAACCAGCACCTGGATGCAGAGTGAAACTGGTGGACAAAGATACAGAAGGCAATGGAGAAATCTGTTTCTGGGGAAGGACTGTTTTCATGGGTTATTTAAATATGGAAGACAGAACAAAAGAAGCCTTTGATGAGGAGGGGTGGCTGCATTCTGGAGATTTAGGAAAGCTAGACAAGGATGGCTTTCTCTATGTCACTGGAAGAATTAAAGGTAATAGGCAAAATCTTGCTCTCTGTTTATGGTAAATGTTCAGCACTATTCAGTCATCTCTCAGTTGTAGTCCATCTCATGAAGTGTCTTTCCTCTAATTCTGGCAGCCTTGCTCTAACAGGAAGGTAAAATAAACTTTCCTGTGAGAAAACCAAAGCGTGCTCTGTGTTCAGGGAAGGTTTCCCTCTAGTCTAGTAGGTAGAGATGATCCAGTTCATACAAGCAGGCTTTTCATCTCCCACACCTTTACTCAGTGTTAATTACAATTAGCAATATAAACTACTAACACAGGTTTAATGTGTCATGTTTGATTTGAATGATATCATTAAGCTGTCCAGTCTCCCTTTGAATCTTGCCAGTGTCTTAATTGCACATTAGAATGTTTAGGCAGCAAGGGGGGGCACCCTCTGCTACAGAGAAATTGGTGCTGTAGGTCACAGGTTGGTTCCTCTGGTGTCTTAGGTTAAGTGTTTGCAGAGACCAGAGCTGAAGCTTGAGAGCAGAAGGGAAAGCTACAGCTGAAGCCATGCACTTAGATGTTCCTGCAGGACACTGGCTGAAGGCTCATGAGACTGAGACTAGTCATGTGCTGACTTGGAGGCTTTCTTCATGATACATATTCAGACAGTGGGATTGGTCACAGGCAAGATGTAACTGAGGAAGATTTAAGAATTTAGTAGATATCATCTTAGAATTTAAGATGAATCACTAGGGAGATAACACAGATGGGTGAATTCGTCACAGGTGGCATCATGTCCTGCAAGGAGTCAGGACTGAAGTTGGTACTATTAATAGCCTGCACGAAATGCAGCTGTCTTGATTTTAACTTTTCTTGTCTGATTCATTTTCCTTTAGCACAGCAGCATCAACCCCTTGTCTCAATTCATAACGTTTGTGTTTCTCTTATACCTGTCTGGATTGCTGAACTAACAACAGTTACTCTAAATTACAGGATAGGTAGACAATCCGGGATAAAATAACCATATGTCCAGTTTCATTGAAGTTTTAAACCCAAGTTCAAACAAGGACAATGAAAAATTAAGGGCCAGAGAGATCGGTAGAGGATCTGAGACAAAGACAGACTATTACAAAAGGAGGATGGAATGAAAGGAAAAGTTAGACCTAGAAAAGTGTGTCTGTGTTATTTGGTGAAGCATGTTCTGAACTGCTGAAAGACAATTATTTGAGGACAATTGGAAGTCAGCAATATAACAAAAGCAAAGAATTGCAATTTACTTAGAGAATACTCAAGTTTGTAATAATTTTATGGAATATATATATTACAATTCAGAACAAATGCTGCTTTTATCAAGCCTTCCTCCAGTAGTAACTTATTTTTGTCTGACCCCTCTTGGTGGATTTAAGAATTGGTTTTAATCATTATAACAATGAACTTGCCTTTTGGTGAGATAGCAACAATAGAATAGCAGGTGAATCCTATGCTAATTTGGAAGAGATGATCTCTCAAAGAAAACTTCCAATTATGTAACAGTCCCTTGAGAATGTAAAAAATATCTGGTGCAAATATACTGAGGGAGATCTGAGAACTTGAGCACACGTTTGAAAAATAGTAGCATTTTTGTTTTGAAGGTGTTAATAGGATTTGTGGTATTTGAAAATTATTATCTTGGAAAAAAATCTTGTATTTTTTATGTCAGAATAAGAAGAGCAGGTTTGAGCCAGACATGAACCTGACCTCTGGAATTAATTCAACTAATAGCCTTTCTTGTTTTGCCTAGATTTGATTATTACAGCTGGAGGTGAAAACGTGCCTCCAATTCCAATTGAAGATGCTGTTAAAAAAGAACTTCCAATTGTTAGTAATGCTATGGTGATTGGAGATAAGAAGAAGTTTTTGTCAATGTTCCTGACCCTAAAGGTAAACCAGTTTTAATATTGCCTTCAGTAAAGTTATACACCTGCACCTAACAAAAGAATAATAATTTTGAACCATTTGTAAAAAGACCTGAAATTAAATTAGGAAGATGTTAGCAGGGGGAAAAAACATGTAGCAACTACAGACAAATCCTGATGGGTCTAAACTTAGGGTTACCTGATCTGCTAAACATCCACATATTTACTGCTGTTTCTTCTACATGTACAATAAGAGGTATTTTCTATTTAAATGCAAATTTTTATATAAGAAATGCTGGAAGATTGAGAAGTCTTTGTAACAGAACACAACAATAACTTTTATGCTTACAGATGAGCAAAACAAATGTTTCTGTTATGGGAAAATCCAGAAACCTTCCAACAGAAACATTTCTCTACAATTTGTTATTTTTATAATACAAGAATGATGACCATGGAACAAAATAATTAATAGCCTTGCTGTGGTATAGGCTTCAGTAGAGAAATCACTGTTCTCCTAAAACATTTGCACTTCAGTTCTGTGAACATACCTAATAAATGCCACTTAGGTGTTTTGAAGTTGTTTACCTCTATGACTGATAATCCCTATCTTCAGGTACAATAGAAATACTAATTTAAGAAGTCTAGGAACACTTCTATCTCAAGCTGTTTACATTACACCATAATAATTCCATTGAACGATGAGCTAAATGTTTCCCTGTAACAATGCAGTCATTTGGAAAATATGGCAGAAATTCAAGGTCAGAGATGGATTCTATGGCCTAATTCATTCCCATGTTTTAAGTCTGTTCATGACATCTGCATATAAGCCAAAAATATTTGTATTTGGTAGCCAAGTGGAAAGAAAAGCCCTTTATGATCTGTAGGTGTTTCTGCTTTTTAAGGCTTACAGAATGCTTGTGTGTTTATCCTGAGCCTTCTTCCAAAGGGGAGGGCCTGGTCAGAGAACCTGGTAATGCCTTTTAAGAGTGAATGTTTAATGATGTCACTTCATTTGATATTTAGAGTGTGCTGGACCCAGATACATCTGATCCTACTGACATTCTCACAGAGCAAGCCAGAGACTTCTGCCAGAGGAGTGGTAGTAAAGCCACCAAAGTGTCCGAGATCGTAGCTGCAAGAGACCAGGCGACCTACAGAGCCATCCAGGAGGGAATCGACAGAGTCAACAGCACTGCTACCAACAGGGTTCACTGCATCCAGAAATGGATCGTCCTGCCAAGAGATTTTTCCATTTCTGGGGGAGAACTAGGTAAGACTTACTGATTTATCTTGAGGTACACAAAGTTAAGAGGCTGCTGATCTAAGAAGCTTCAGTACAGGAGGAAAAAATGGTTATGCAGTGTGTGGTAAGGAATACAAAAATTGTAGTTTTTGCTGTGCACACATTTATGAATCTGTGTCATTTGCATGTAGAGCTCTTAAATTTCAGATTGTCTTGGGTAATTAAGCAATTTTGGTTAATTCCATGTACATTAAAGTGTTAATAACTTTCAGTAATAATACTGAAAGTGATGCCTGGAATGGCTACCTAAAACAGAGGCTAGACAGAGTTAAAAAGAGAAAGGGTAGATTTTTCTTGAAAGGCCTTCAGAAGGCACACCTCGGGCAGTGCAGGAGTGTCACAGACCACACCCGAGATGGATAAGCCTTCAGTGTTTGGACAGATGTAAGTTTGGTCTGTTTGCATATTGCAGGTTAATGTCCAGTTACAGCTTCGGGTAGTGGAGTCTCATTCCCCTAGTTTGCCCCCCCCACTTCACTGTAGTTTACATTTTTCAGGGCCTGTGAAAAAAAGGTAACCTTGGGTTTCAGGCCTAGAGAGAAACTGTTTTTTCTGAATAAAGTGGGAGAACAGTAGCTGACAGGCTATGGATACACTAAAACTGATTTCCAGTTTTCTGATCTGGAAAACATAAAAGCTAAAACTTAAGGCATCAAAAGTTTCTCTTTAAAAGAAAACAAACAAAAAAAAAAAGCAGCAAGATAGTGAAAGCCTGATAATGGAGCCCAAAGCGCATTACCAGGCTCTTTGAATAAACTGGGAATTGTTTAAAAGCTTCCAAAAACATATTTTTAGCAAAAAAATAGTAGCCAGTTACCACCTTATCTGCAGCTCCCTTTGGAAGTCCTCATGCTTATGTGGAGGCAAGCTCACATATCACACTTTCTTCTCACTTTTAGCATTTATCTGTGCATAGAGGGGGGCCTGTTCTTCCTAACAGGCTCTTCAATAAAAACCTCGGGCACCAAAGCTCAAACTGAGTAGGAATTTTTGTTCCTATTTCTGGAATGGATTCTCCCTCTTTTAAGGTCCCACAATGAAGCTGAAGCGGCTCGCTGTGCTCGAGAAATACCGAAATGAAGTAGACTCCTTCTATAAAGAATAAAAAGTGTTTCCTCCAAGCACTAAGATCTGTGAACAAAAGGAAGTATTTTCTCATCAAAAGCATTAACAAAGATTTATGCTTTAAGTTTGTAGTCTATTGAACCAAACCACTAGAAAGCTGCTGTCAATTTAGCTTTTCTTGATACTCACCTTATCATTTGTCCTCTTTTTACAGAAGCATCTACAGTGTGTCCATTGTCTAATCTACTTTTACTTTATGACCTTAATGACTAAAACATCCTTCTGTGTTATATAAAGCAGATATAACTAATTCCTCTAGATTGAAACATAACAAGTTTTTTATAGTCTTCCATTTTTCTTTTTTTTTCCTTCTGTTCTACAGGATGTTTCCTGTAGCTCATGATATATTTTGCTAGATAGCAGTACTGCTTAATGAAACTGTCATACCACTCCAGTGAGATTAAAAAAAAAATTAAAAAATCTAAAGGGCTGGGAATTTTTTTCCCTTCCCAGAGAACACTTTCTTGGTCACTACCACATTTCAGAACCTGAAGACATTCTTGTTTCTATAATGCCTAGAATTTAGACCTCTGTGAACACAGCAGTTCGCTTCTTAAGTCCATGTTGGAATAAGCATTACTATTTCTTGTAAAAACAAATAGTCAGAAGAAGCAGGGGAATAGCTCCCTGAGACTGAAAGGCACGAAGGAATAACGACAGGAGCTCTCACATTTAAATGCTATTACAGACACTTCTTTAAAATTGTTTACAGTGCTTTTCTTTGAGCAGTGTTTGTCAGTGTGTATCTGCATGTTTCAGTATTCACATTGCACTAATTCTGACAAATGTGGGCTGTATTTCTTCTTACCCATATGCAAAAGAAATCATATTATGAGAAGGAAATGCTTGGCACAAAGTTGTCTAAAGGGCGTGCTGTAAGTGATCACTGGCAGACAGCTCGAGTAGCTCACACAGCTAAGGCAGGCCACAGCCCGTTACTGAGATGAAGAAATGATGCAGAACAGGATAAGGTTTCCATAAAAGTTCCATTACCAATCTCACACATCTTACAGACCTAAGATTTGTTGCAAGTACCAATAATCAGCTCAATATATAAGACAAAGCAGCAGCCTAGGATTATAAAAACAAAACGAGCACTAGGACTTCGAAAAGTTTATTCTTCCCCATTTTGTGCGCAATGGTAATTCAGAATTTCTTTAACAATATTAATCTGAAGGAAACAAGGAAGCAGCAGCTGGGAAAACACAGAAAGAAATGTTGCCCTATTCACAAAAAGCTGAGTGTGGGAGGAATAAATCTCCTCCAGCATGTTGTTAGACTGTATAAAAAAGCTGGGATGCTTACTTTAGAGAGTAACACAAAAAGTTGTTACTCCAAAGTTGTTTTACTTCTGAAACAACCAGCCCTAAACAGTCATAATAGATATTACTCCAGTTAGTTACTTTCTATGAGTAGAATGAAGCTGTAAGAAGCCTGCTTCTGGCAGGAGGGAGAATACTGTGCTATACTAACGAGTTTGAAAATACATATTTACTTGTCAGCTGCGGGAATGGAAGCAATACCTCGATAGTTACAGATCAGAATGACTCGAGTGACAATCTGATGGGGAGAGCAAGGAAGGGCAAAGAGTTGCTTTTGCACCCATTAAGCTTAGTAAGCAAGGAAAAAATAGATTCAGATCCCCTTGAATAGGGATGAAATGTATTTCTGGAACACAGGCACCAGAGCCAAACCGCTGATCTGTCTTAATCCTTTTAGGACTTGTCTTACATTCAGAGATTCTAGAATAAAATTATTAGTCAATACAGCAAGACACACTGAACACACTGTGCAGAAACTACAACACAAAAAGCATTCTAGCTGAAGTCATGAAATATTTAGTGTAAATTTGCAAAGTCAATACTTTTCCTTCACAATATATGGTGGAAGTAATTTTGTATTGTTTGTTTGCCCTTATTAGAACTCTGCTGTAAAGTGTGTTTCAGAGAGAAAAACTTACAAGAATTATTTTGGTATATCAATTTGAAAAATAACTTTACTTCAGCATTAATTTTCACCCCTTGTTAATGATTGTAGTTATTTTTTAAATACAGAAATAGATTAACTCTCTAGAATTTTGTATTTCTTAATTCATGCTTTTTGTGGGCAGGGCTGTATTTCATGAATCATCAGAGTATTAAAGTGGTTTTCTTGTTGCTTCTAACACAAAATTGCTATTTTAAGTTATTTTATACCCGTTTCTGTTCATGAAGATCATCTTGTGCTACTCCTAGTCTGAAAACCTATCTTTTTAATTTCAACAAGATCAATAAAGTAGGTTTTAAACATTAAGGTGCATTTATATTTCACTAATCTGTTACTGGTTTGTTTGCGTAATTTTTCTATGTGGAAAGTAAAACCCTCTAATTGAAACGGAAAATATTAGACAGTTACAGTGCCAATAAAGGAATTCACTTACATTAAAATGTTCACCAGATAGAAAAAATAAATAAAACAAAGCACTTGGAAAAGTCCACCGAAAGCAGGCACAAGCATCATTTGTAGCCATTTGGACTAGATTTATTAATGGAGAGGCCTCAGCTAAAAAGTTTGCTCTCAAGAGATAAGCAAACCCTATGCATGTGGGTATCAGGTTACATATGTTGTACTCTGTGACATGTCCTTCCAGAGTCCTCAGCAGGAGGAAGAGGAGGAGGAGGAGGTTTAGTCTTTGTCCCGTACTCGGCGGCAGATCTCCTCTGTGAATTCTGAACACTTAGCATTGCCTCCCAAGTCTTTTGTCAAGACCTGAAAGAAAGAAAGAAAAAATACAGTGTTACTGAAATGTATTATGGGGCCAGTCTTGTCTCTGAACAATTCTGGATGTGCTCAGGATATGCTGTCTATAGGTGGTAAATAAGGTGAGCACGAATACATCAAGTTTGAGTTCTGCACCCCACAGAGACTTCATCAAGAAGGAATGTGCAGGGAGAGAAAACCTGAGTATACATGAAGTACTTATAATGTTACCAGATTTGAACGTGATTTTAACATGATTTTATCCTAACTACAGGAATAAAATGTGTGTGGTCAAAGCTCTACAAAGTGCTTTAATGGTGTAATTAATGATTAAGTATTTACATCTTCAGTAAGAAGTTTGTCCTTTGGAAGTAAAATTCATATATGAAGGCTAAGCATAAGGACAACTAATTGAGAGTCATTCAGAAAAATTGGGTCTTTTTTTAACGAAACCCATGCAGAACAAGCACACATAACTCTTAATTCTGCATGTTAACAATTCTCAAAATTTGCTTTGTTTATTTAAGAGAGAGGAAATGCAGAGTTCGAAGTCTCTTTCATCAAGTACAATTACTGTCTGGCATCATGAAGACAGTAAAATAAAAATAAAAAAGTGGGCAACATTACTAGCTAGATTAAAGCACTCTAGGAGATAATTTTAATTATTTGTTTCCCTCACATACACACATATCTTAATTAACTTGTTGAGCAATTATGGTTACTATTTTAGGATCTTGTAATTTAAATTGCATTGTGGGGCTTTTCAATTAAAAGGACTGTATCCATTGTGAGCATATAATTGTAACATTGTAAGTAGCCATGTCACGAAACTTGCACTGTTATCTTCCATGGAATTACTGACCTGCAGATGGAGGATATCATTCCCAGAGCAGTACATGGGAACTTTTCAGGAGTACCTCTTTATTCAGTTGTAAGTTTACATTTTTTTAACTGGCTCCTACATACAGCAAGATAACTGCAAACTTAAAAAATTATGACAACTTTTGGTTTCAGCATTCTTGTTTTTAATTACAAAGCAGCTTCTCACGGTCCTGCCTAAAATAAACGAACCAGCATGACTAGCTAATCCTCTTTAACTGCAATCTTCAAAATCTTTCCAACTATGTTTTCAAGAGATGGACATGAGTTTAGAAGAGTGAACCAATAATGGTAAGACCACAAATTTATCAGGTTTCAGAGCATAAACCTCCTCTCCCCCCCAATATCCCATCTGAGTCATTAATCTGAAGACACTCTCTTCCAAAGAGAAACATATACAATCCTCAGAGAAAAAAAGTTAATGCTGGATAAAAACTGTTCTTTTTTAGTCAAAAATGAGTGAAAGCAGTAAGAACGAAAAAAGAAAATAATTAAGCTGAAAAAACAGAAACAGAAGTATTACAGTCAGTACTTAAATGCTATAAACAAAGTGCACGATGAAGCCTGTGAAAGGCAAATGAGTGTCCTTCACTTCAGGATGCAGATTTCAATATGTATACTTTGTAGGTTTCATGAATTTTATAAGTGAAATGCTGAGAGTTACTTAAAACTCTGATCCCCTTCTTGAAAAACAGCCATCCAGTTCACTATTCTGGAGTTTATAAAGCTGTGGAAATCTAAGATGAGCATTGCTGAGACAAAAGGAATGCTACAGCCTGCCCCTTTGTTACTGCAGGGCATATTTAATATCACCAAAGATAATATAATTACTGTCAGAGAAGGACAGTGGCACTGCTCGTGCAACAGGCCAGCTCAGGCCACCATTCCCCACCCTGGTGTGAATCTTCCATGTTAATTCTTGCTTTGATACGATATGATTTTAATTCAGTGCATTTATTTGCACACCCTCATGTTACCTTTCCATCTTTAATTGTATCGAAGCAAGCTGACTCAATCTTTGTGGCATGTTTGTGCATTCCCATGTGGCGCAGCATCATCACAGCACTCAGAAGGAGGGCAGTTGGATTTGCCATGTCTTTCCCTGCAATGTCTGGTGCTGTTCCATGAACCTAGAAATGAGAGTAAACTTATCTGTTATGTCGTTAGGGCTGATTAAAATGTCCTAGGCAATTGTGCAAGCAACCTGAGCCACAGGTCTTTATGTTAAAACAGGACTTACTTTGCTGTGCTACAGTCAGTGGAAAGGAGACACCAAGGACCAAAACAATTCAGTTCAAAGATGTCAGAAAGGGAAAACTAATATCCTAATATCTTTAAGTTGAGCCCATCAAATTCTATTTCATAGAGGGTATTTATCATACAAA